TAGCAAATGGCTGCAATATAACAAAGAGTGAAAAATTTAAGGGGGTCTGAATACTTTCCGTACCCACTGTATATAAATACACACACATACAGTATATATTTTGGAAATATTTATATGTATTTACATGTCTATATTTATATTTATATAATTTATATTATATATAAATATATTTAATATATAAACATAACATATTTTTCTGAAATATATACATGCATGTGTGTGCATTTACATATACATAAAAAATATATACAGTACAGAAAAACTTTTATTCTGGATGCACTAGTTAATAATATTTTATTTTTATATTTTTTTATTATTATTTTCAAATATTTTTTCATTTTCATTTTATTTTATGAACGTTTAATTTGTATCTATTTTTTGTAATTAATTGTGTTATTAATTTGACCATCAACTCTTTTTTTATCTGGTGAAACAGCCTACATTTAGACCGTCGATCCAAACAAAGTACAATCCAAAAATTATCTTTGCATCAGCGTTATTTTAGTATCATTGATATACTGTTATAGTTTTTATAAATATTTTGAATTTGAGTTTATAATTCTATTCTATATTTTTTGTTTTAACTAAAAATGTAGTAATTTTGTTGTGTTTTTGTCATTTTTATTCAGTTGTTAAATGTCTATATAATGTTTATTTATTATTTTTAGTTTGTTAGTTTATTTTTTACTAAATGTCACCATGGTAATTAGCTGAAATAAAATAAGTTTATCTTATTTTATTTCAGTTGATTTTTTTTTTTTTACAAAAATGTTTCCGTCTTGAAGTGTGGTTATTTGTGACCTTTGACCCCTGCAGTAAGCTGAGGGAGGCGACGGACGTGAACATTAACATGCGTGTGGGTGTTCACACGGGGAATGTTCTGTGTGGCGTGATCGGCCTTCAGAAGTGGCAGTATGACGTCTGGTCAGATGACGTGACTCTAGCCAATCACATGGAGTCTGGAGGAGTGGCTGGGTACTTGATTACTGCAGTATTATCAGTGACGATGATGTTGATGATGATGATGATGATGATGGTTCCTCACAGGAGGGTCCACATCACAGAGGAGACGTTCGCTCACCTGGACGGGAAATACCAGGTGGAGGACGTAAACGGCGGGAGTCGCGATTCCACGCTGAA